CCATTTTCATGTTCTGTTCTGTACAAGTCGAATTGGACCGTTGTTAATAAAATTGATCTGATGGTTTGTACATGCTGTATTTTGTCCTGTTTGAACTTGAAAATAACCAGTGGGAATCGTGATTGGGTGTTGGTGTGTGTGAGTGTCTTCATATATCCTCCTCGCACAGTAAAGGTCAGGAGTGTCGAGACGGCGTCGGGATCTTCTGGTGTGGCCGGACGACACTGAGGTGCCACATTCCCTTCAACCAGTTTCTCAACCTAGACTTTGTACGACAAACATTTCACTTCTCTGTTGGTGCTTCAGTGGAGATAGTCGTGAGATAGAAATGAGCACTTGTGGAGGGAATGCTTTTAGTTTAATCCTTCAAAGGAATCGGTGTGCTCCTGAAACCATTTTTTGCCAGCAAAGTTTCTGGTTCATTCTTTAGAAGAGTCAATGACGTGCGACTCTTTTTATGGATCTATTAATTTATCGAACTTTAAAATCTCTGTCATGAATAATTTCTGAATTAAAAAGGAATGGCTTAAAGGGTTCACCCAATTACTTTCATTTTTGGGACACATATGAAGATATTTTTGAGCGATTTCTGTCCCTCCATTGACGGCTATGCAACTACCAATTTGATGCTTCAAACAGTTCATAAAGAGATCGTAAAAGTAATCCATATACATTTGGCAATATAGTCCAAATATACTGTAGAGATTTAGTCGCTTTATATGAACAGATTTTAGGCTTTTATTCATCAACCCGCGCATCAGTTGTGTTAAATGAAAGCTCAAGCATGTTTGCTTGACAAGCAAGAGACAATGAGGTTCATTCTTGTGTTACGCAGCACGCTTGAGCTTCAACAAGAGCCAATGAGGTTCATCCTCGTGTTACGCAGCACGTTTGAGCTTCAACAAGAGCCAATGAGGTTCATCCTCGTGTTACGCAGCACGCTTGAGCTTCAACAAGAGCCAATGAGGTTCATCCTCGTGTTACGCAGCACGTTTGAGCTTCAACAAGAGACAATGAGGTTCATTCTTGTGTTACGCATCACGCTTGAGCTTCAACAAGAGCCAATGAGGTTCATCCTCGTGTTACGCAGCACGTTTGAGCTTCAACAAGAGACAATGAGGTTCATTCTTGTGTTACGCATCACGCTTGAGCTTCAACAAGAGCCAATGAGGTTCATCCTCGTGTTACGCAGCACGTTTGAGCTTCAACAAGAGACAATGAGGTTCATTCTTGTGTTACGCATCACGCTTGAGCTTCAACAAGAACAAAATGTGGACTATCACTCAAATAATTTGGGTTAGTTACAATCGGTTCATTACATTTTTGTGGTAGTTGCATAGCTGTCAATTCTTACCAATTAACAGAATGCATTGCTGATACAAACAATTGGATGACTAGTAATTTCCTACTACTAAATTATGAAAAACAGATATTCTGATTACTGGACAAAAAACGTCCACACGTTACAGCCTAGAATACTGTCTAACACTCGATGGCTGATCTGTTACGTCTTTGTCGTCGGTTACAGACTGATCTCATGAAGTAGCGTGTATATTTCCATTTTTGGCGTGCTATCAAGACACATAATCGCTTTTCAGCGTGTTTATGAACGCCGTTGACTTGACGTTATTACTGTATATATAAATATATGACTTAGCTCAACCCCGTCCCTAAACCTAACCGTCACTGGGGTTAATGGCATTTATGACTGTTCCCTTACCATCCTAGGAAAAAAATATCCCCAGATGTAGATCTACATTTTGCTTCGTTTCGCGCGGACATTTGACGGCGTGTACAGACACGCGTAATCACTCGGACGTTAATGGCCTAGACATACACGCGGATAGCTCAAAATGCGTAGAGATAACACGCCACTTGACTCGAAAGTGGCGTGTATGTTTACGCAAAAGTCATGATGTCATGATGTCGGTTAGGAACCTGGGTGTGCTCTTTGATACTAATCTCTCATTTAAAAGTCACGTGTCTAGTATCTGTAAAACCGCATTTTTCCACCTTAAAAATATCTCTAAATTACGTCATATGCTCTCATTGACGAATGCGGAACAGTTAGTTCATGGGTTCATGACATCAAGGCTAGATTATCGTAATGCTCTACTGGGTGGTTGCCCTGCACGCTTAATAAACAAACTTCAGCGAGTCCAAAACGCAGCAGCTCGAGTTCTTACCAGAACCAGGAAGAATGACCATATTAGCCCGGTTCTGTCAACCCTGCATTGGCTGCTTATTAAACATCGTATAAATTTTACTCCGCAGTACTTGACGCATTATACTCCTTCACGTCTATTGCGATTTCGAAACTCCGGCCAGTTGATGATAATTAGAATATCGAAATCGACTGCTGGCGGGAGATCCTTTTCCTATTTAGCACCAAAACTCTGGAATAGTCTTCCTACCATTGTCCAGGAAGTAGACACAATCTGTCAGTTCAAATCTAGACTAAAAACACATCACAGCCCTAGCACACACATAATACATTATAGATTTCTATAATTCAATGGTAAACTGCATAGATTAGGTCAGCCGGAACTGGAAACACTTCCCTTAAATCCTGATGTACTCGTTACATCATAAGAAGAATGGCATCTACTCTAATTTGAGTGTCTTTGTTTATCCCGAGGTTTTCCCACAGACTGCTGGATCCAGATCTGATGAGGACCTTAGCCTGGACCCGGTGACGATGCAGTGCTGAAGTGCCAACTAGCCTCTCCCTGTGGAGGATCCCTTTCCTACTCTACAGATAAAGCGTTTGTGAATTTCATTTCACGTACCTACCCCGAAGTGATAAAATAAAACAAAATTCTGTATCAAATTTATAAACAAGACAAGTAGTTTGCTCAGGCATGGTTTTGTAACGAATTACAAACCTGCGCGCATATATTCAAACACACATAACTATAGAGTTAATTCTTAATGCGCATGTGAACACCATCAGCGTTTATCACAGGTTGGCGTTTAAAGTCTGTTTCGAGACATTCATATGCATTTTTACCTTACATTTACTGTGAATCCGGCCTCTAGTTCATAAACACCAGAGGAGAACTGGCCCCCGACTGAGCCTGGGTTCTCCCAAGGGTTTTTTTTCTCCATTGGGTCGCCTGATGGAGTTTTAGGACACCATTGGGTCACCTGATGGAGGTTTAGGACACCATTGGGTCACCTGATGGGGTTTTAGGACACCATTGGGTCACCTGATGGAGGTTTAGGACACCATTGGGTCACCTGGTGGAGTTTTAGGACACCATTGGGTCGCCTGATGGAGTTTTAGGACACTATTGGGTCACTTGATGGAGTTTAAGGACACCATTGGGTCACTTGATGGAGTTTAAGGACACCATTAGGTTGCCTGATGGAGTTTAAGGACACCATTGGGTCGCCTGATGGAGTTTTAGGACACCATTGGGTCACTTGATGGAGTTTAAGGACACCGTTGGGTCACCTGATGGAGTTTTAGGACGCCATTGGTTCACCTCGTGGAGTTTTAGGACATCATTGGGTCGCCTGGTGGAGTTTTAGGACACCATTGGGTCACTTGATGGAGTTTAAGGACACCATTGGGTCGCCTGATGGAGTTTTAGGACACCATTGGGTCGCCTGATGGAGTTTTAAGACACCATTAGGTCACTTGATGGAGTTTAAGGACACCATTGGGTCGCCTGATGGAGTTTTAGGACACCATTGGGTCGCCTGATGGAGTTTAAGGACACCATTGGGTTGCCTGATGGAGTTTAAGGACACCATTGGGTCACTTGATGGAGTTTAAGGACACCATTGGGTTGCCTGATGGAGTTTTAGGACACCATTGGGTCACTTGATGGAGTTTAAGGACACCATTAGGTCGCCTGATGGAGTTTAAGGACACCATTGGGTCGCCTGATGGAGTTTTAGGACACCATTGGGTCACTTGATGGAGTTTTAGGACACCATTGGGTCACCTGATGGAGTTTTAGGACACCATTGGGTCGCCTGATGGAGTTTTAGGACACCATTGGGTCGCCTGATGGAGTTTAAGGACACCATTGGGTCACCTGATGGAGTTTTAGGACACCATTGGGTCGCCTGATGGAGTTAAAGGACACCATTGGGTCACCTGATGGAGTTTTAGGACACCATTGGGTCGCCTGATGGAGTTTAAGGACACCATTGGGTCACCTGATGGAGTTTTAGGACACCATTGGTTCACCTCGTGGAGTTTTAGGACATCATTGGGTCGCCTGGTGGAGTTTTAGGACACCATTGGGTCACTTGATGGAGTTTAAGGACACCATTGGGTCGCCTGATGGAGTTTTAGGACACCATTGGGTCGCCTGATGGAGTTTAAGGACACCATTGGGTCACCTGATGGAGTTAAAGGACACCATTGGGTCACCTGATGGAGTTTTAGGACACCGTTGGGTCACTTGATGGAGTTTTTCTGTTCCTTGTCACCCTTGATCAGCTCTACCAAACGTCCACTAAGAAAAACATTATGTTTTGATTGAAACTGTGAAGCTGCTTTGATACAGTCTATATTGTGAAAAGCTTTATATAAATATACTTAAATTTACTCTTGGATTTCATCAAAAAAGATTTACGGGGTTGGAAAAGCATGAGGGTGTGTAAATGATGACAGAATTTACATTTTTGGGTGAACTAACCCTTTAATGTAGAAATATCCAGGTAGAGATCATGAGTCTCATGAAAAGACTGAAATATCTGAGGAAATAATCTTTAGTAGCAAGACAATAATTCTTTATTTTGTAAAAATATGTAGTGAAGCAATTGTTTCAATGTCATGTGGTGCAACTCTCCAAAAACTTGCAAAAATGACAATTTAAAATGTTTTCAAAAAATGTTTTTAAATATAATACACATTCATAGTATAAAAAATGTATTACTTTAAATGTGTTGTAACATCAAGGAAAAAGTCAGTAAATGCTTGTCTTGAAAATTGTGTTTTCTTGAAAAAAACCCCCTGACAAATAAGGTAGTCGAAGACAATAAAAAAGGACAAATCTATTCAAATTAGGTCATTTCTCCGCATTTCAAAATGACATGTCATTGTCATAATTAACTTCAACACTGCATGAATATTTCGGTCCAAATGGAAGGTTTTTGTCTCCTATTCTGAGGGCTTAAATGACTCCGGCCATTCGTAAGTTTTCTTTTGTCCTGGTAAATTGGCTCCTCAGGAATAGTACAATAGTGCCTCTATCTCTCTTCGGCAGGGTCAGTGCCCAGTATCTCGCCTGTGAATGATTCCACAGCACTGTCCTCTGCGTCTCAGAAGCTGTATGGTGACACAAAGAGAGTGACTTTCGTGACGTATCGCCCCAACAGCTCGTTTCTTTCCATTTCCCTCATCTGGATGTCGACCTCTAGCGTGGCGGGACCCTGGACGGGCTTCACCAGCACCAGCTGCCCCGTGTGTCTGCCGGCGCGCTGGACGCTGAAGTGCTGAACTCCCGGCTTCCCCAGCAGGCCGAAGCGCAGCGCGTCGCCCAGGACACGGGCAGCAGACAGGCGGAAGAGCACGGTGGGCGCCGACATGTTGGACACCACTGCCATGAAGTGGAAGTTAATGGAGACCGGGGCCTGCAGACAGGAGTCGTCTCCTTGGACACACGGGTTACGGTCACAACGCCTGGGTGGAGGAAGAGAAACCAGACCTAACTATAACCTCAAATTATGTCTTGGAAATATAGCAAGGTGATTGGCACAGAGCAGTAAATCCAGAAATTAAGATTTAAAACTTGGAGCAAATTATGGATCACCTTAGGAAAAATAATAGTGGCCCTCGCAACAATGCTGAGAACACGTTCCCATCTGTTGCTGTATAAACCAATATACCAACCAAACCCTTTTAGCTGCGCCAAGTCGATTTTCAGGTCTGTCAGTATGAAGTGAAATTGCGCTAGCATAGCTAAAAGAGTTTGAGTTTACACAATTGTAATATTTTGGTCTCTCGAGACCCACTCGTGCTGAGATGACGGCGGCGGTGCTGTACTTACAGCGGTGAGGTTTTGATGTATGTGGCGTTGTGGAAGCGAGGACAGTCCACCGACTCACAGCGATGACCTCCGTATGTGTTCACACACACCTGCTCGCTGCTGCAGTTATGGCTCGCCCTCACACACTCGTCAATGTCTACACATAGCACGTGATAAAAACAACTTTATTTTAAAGATTCCCTTTTTCTACTATGAGAATATTAGACCTCAGTTTTCCCATTTTTAAGTTAGTTGACTCTTAGCTTTGTATATCCCAGAGCGTGGTTTACCAAGGCAGCATTTTAAAGGGGTCATACAATGTCATTTTCACGCAAGTTAATATGATTTTTTTAGGGTCTAAATGAAATTTTTTGTTGATGATGCTCATTAGTATTTTAAGAACACAAATTTTACCTGGTCAAACACAGCTCTGTTTCCAGCACGCCGTTTCAGTGCATATGGCTTTAAATGATAATGAGCTTCGCTGACTCCGCCCCTCTGTTTTGCGTTTTGAATGTGGAGTGTTGCCTTGACAACAGTTGAAGGTATATTTTGGAGAAAGAAAGGCAGCGGGAGTCTCCGAGGACACATCTGTGCAACCGTACGGCATTTTCGTTGAAAAACGCTCCCTGTCCGCACTAGTGTTTTTTTGTGCTAGCGAATAGCACATAACAGGCACAATATCGGTAAACATGAATATCTATTGGTTCAACATGGATCACATGACTAAACTTGCGCCATCGTTTTCAAATACCTCTGGTTTCACAGTCCACACTGCAACGTGAAAACTGCGTTTTCAAATGTATCCGCTTTGAGGGCGTTTTCCAAAAGCTATGTTTTCATTGATTTAAAACGCCATCTCAGTGTGGACGGAAAACCAAACCGGAGAGAAAAATATGGCCTCAGGTTGAACCGGAGTCGCACCCAGAACAAGATGACGGCCCAAAGAAGTTTGACAATTAAGGCTCGAACGGGACGTTTCTGAATGGTTGGATAACGTAATGTCACTTTGCTCTATCTTTGTGTACTGACAGGGTAGAGTAAGTGAGATACGAACACTATGTGTTTACTGATGTATACATACTTAGTTTGTAATAAAACAATAACCATAACGAGTTGTTCATTATAAATGAGGGATTGTGAATTATAATGAGAACTTTGTATAGAAAACATGCCGTTATGTACCCTGAGTGTAAACCGCATTCGTCGTGAAGCATGCAAGCGATTTACAAAGATTAATCTAAAATATCAAATTTTACACACTTCTTCTGGAGGTGCAACAGGAACATGAATAGTTGCCACTGATTCATTTTTCAGGAGCAGCTTCTTGGCAAAACCAGCTTTATATTGAGTCTGATCCTCATTTATAAAGCAGTCTGTGAGAAAAGATTTGTTAATCTCGCAAACATGAACGCATTGACGTTGCTCGTGGGGAATATTCCCTTCCAAAATAAAACTCAGCCACTGCGTCTTCAGCGGTTCGGATTTAGGAACATCAAAATAACTGTTTGTTATCTGAAAAAGAACAGAACACCACAATCGCTCAGACGCCATTCTGCTCCAGCGCATCAACAATGATGGACTATGATGACCGCTCGCTCAGGGCGGGTCTGTGTTGAAACACTGCTGTCAATCAACAGTCGTGGGAGGGGCGTTCGATTTAGTGCCGTCACGCGGTCGAGCGGCTCGATTTAAGACTGGAAAACATATAATTATTCATCTGAAACTATTTTCTATGAAGACAACGAATGGGGTTTACGTCACCTTGTGAATCCCCAGAAGTAAAGTTGATCTAGTGCGCTACAAATCTCTCCGTCACTAAAGATAGGGTTGGGTATCGCTTGAATTTGAACGATTCTGATTCCGATTCCTTGTTTCGATTCCGGTTCCTAACGATTCTCGATTCCGATTCTTTTAAGAGGCAGGGTCAAAAAAGTTTAGCTAACCTTGCTAACCAACGACCTTTCTGAAGGAAATACTCCTTCTGTAAAAATACTCCTTTTGTCACAAATTTTGCATTTTGCCGAGATTTCGTTATTTTTAGAAAAGTGAAGCCACACTTTGGATCGCCGACGTAAGCTACTCATGTTCGACTCGCGCGGTTATGCCAACACTTCCGGTAGACGCTTCTTCGTTGGTGTTGTTCAGCGGTTTCTTCTTCCGCTCGGCGGACTGTGAATATCGAAACTAGGAATCGAAATTTTTACTTTTGAACGATTCCAGGAAAAACGAAAAGTTAGTCTCGGTTCCAATCGATACTCGATTCTCGATACCCAACCCTAACTAAGGAGGAAGGTTGTATTTAGGAGGCAGTGCATCTGTGAGCAGCACACTAGATAATGACGCTCTGTCGTCAGTGTAAGGTGATTATACAGACGCGGGGACTGTAGTTTGGTGGTGAACGCACCATGGCAGCTCCTGCTATCGCGGCCCAGGCGGTATCCGGCGGGACACTGGCACCGGAAACTTCCAGCGGTATTCACACAGGTGTGCAAACACAGACGGCCAGGTGGAGTTAGGCGGAAGAGCTCGCATTCGTCAATGTCTGAAACACACACACACAGAGAGAGAGAGAGAGACGTCGCTGCTGTCAGTTCAGTCCCAACACGACTGTTGTGGCATTTTCATCTGAAAACTGTTCAGAAATGAAACTCATTAATCATACATCAAACCTAGCATGCTGTATTCATTAATTTCGGTTCGGTTTCATTTCATACATGATCACACTGAATAATTTAGCATTTTAAAAATACATTTAATTGACCATTGGCTGACATGTTCTTTTATCACCGGCATTGAGAGGCAGTAACAACACTGATGCATTACTGGAATAAGCTGATTTTCATGGTTAGGGCAGGTGTTAAAAATCTAATTCATATATATATATATATATGCCTACATTTATAGTCGATTAATATAAATTGAAGAACACAATTATGTGTTATTTGTTAGCAGAAGTGTGGTCTGCCACTGATCCTCCACAACAGTGGCTCTCTCCAGATACTGTACATGCCCTGTCTAACTCCGGATACAGCCAGAGTCTCTGTGGCACACAAATAACCTTTCTGAGAAGTGATAGACGATCAATACTGAGGGTTTAGTGGGCAAACAAATTCATTGATTGTAACGATATAAAAACGTATATCAAATATATATATATATATGCTCAATACATACACCATACTCTATATATATATATAGTATACTCTAGACATATATATGTGCATATATATATGTGTATATATATGTATATGTCTATATGAAGAGTTCAGATGCAAAAGCCTCTAAATGCCATTTGAAATTTTCTTCTTTAATGATGATTTTTATCAATCTTGTATATTTAAGTTTAGTAATTTCACTTTAGTAACAATTAATAGGTAATTATCATTGCCATTTAAGTGAAATTACTGAACTTAAATATACAAACTTGATAAAAATAATCATTCTAGAAGAAAATTTCAAATGGCATTTAGAGGCTTTTGCATCTGAACTCTTCATGTGTATATATGTGTATATATATGTATACGTGTATATGAAGAGTTCAGATGCAAAAGCCTCTAAATGCCATTTGAAATTTTCTTCTTTAATGATGATTTTTATCAAACTTGTATATTTAAGTTCAGTAATTTCAGTTAAATGGCAATGATAATTACCTATTAATTGTTATTTAAGTGAACTTAAATATACAAGTTTGATAAAAATCATCATTAAAGAAGAAAATTTCAAATGGCATTTAGAGGCTTTTGCATCTGAACTCTTCATATATATGTCCATTGCAAACAGCTGAAAGTCTCTACATTTTGCCTGTGTGTGTGTGTGTGTGTGTGTGTGTGTGTGTGTGTGTGTGTGTGTGTGTGAGACCTGTGCACAGCGTGGTGTTGTGGCTGGAGATGCTGAACCCCGGCTCACAGCTGCAGTGACTGGAGTCCAGGAACTGGACGCAGCGCGACGGCCTCACGGACGCTGATGGAGCCGCGGATACGTCAGAGTCCACAGCTGAGACCACACAAACACAACACGCTTATACACTGACCTTTGACCTTCTACACTTCGGTCAGGGTAGACCCCACAGTTAACAGGACAGCAAGGTCTCGATGGAAGCACAGTCCATTCAGTGTGTCGTACGGCTGTATATCTGGGTGAAACATGGCTTCGGTTCGAGAGAAACACAACTCTGGACTGAGATTCGTTCATTAAACCAACGTGTGACTTTAGGTAAGAAAGTTGTTAAAATGTTTACACACATTATCCAGCTTGTGTTTCATGAAAAGGTCAAAAGTGTTGCTTTGAATTGAAGCATGTTTTATAAACCATTTACACAAAAATGCTCAGCTTGTGTTTAATGAATGATTCTTAAACTGTTTTAAATGTGCACATGCAAAAGATTTAATGAATAATTTATTCGTGACACAGAGGAAGGCATGCCTGTGTAATAATAACTGAATGAAATAATTTATGCAAGAGCTTTTACAAAGGATTTACACTAATTAGTTTGACTCGTGTTTCACAAATAAGGCATAAACTGTCATACTGAATTCATTGCAAACATTTATGCTAAAGATTTAATTAATAATTCACCTTGTGTTTCATGAGTACATTGTTACACTTGACAATTAATGCCAAAGGCTTTATGAAGGAGTTACAGATTTTGTTGCTCATGTTTTATAAACGAGCCGTTTATTCTTGCAATCAATTCAATGTTTTTGTTAAACGTTTTACAAATAATTTACACTATTTGCTAAGCTGCTGCTTCATAAATTAAGTGTATGTTTTGTTATTTGAACGCAATAATTTGTTATTCATGAAATTCAAGCCAAAAATAATTTATAATAAGCCATAAATTTAACCGTTACGCAACAATTGAAACGAGGTTTTTCAGATTTGTTCTGCTTGTTACTCGTTGCTGCACAAACGAACATTCGGTCAACTTAGACTCGTCTAGACCAACGCTTTTCAATCTCTCAAATGCCACAGATCATATGAAATATGACCAATATGATATGATTTTATTATATGATTTCATGTATAAAGACTCCTGTATTACTGTGGAAAATTAATATTTCAAATGTTTAAAAAATTTGGTTTCTATGACATTTCTACTCAGTGCAGTGCTGAACTATTATAAGGTAAAGTTAGAAATGTATTTTTTAATTTATTTACTTTTAATCAAATAAGTCAAATTTAAGTTCATTAATTTATTTAGTTACTTAGTTTATATTTATTTTTGTTTATTTTATTAACATTTAGTTATTTACTTTTGTCCAATTTATTTATTTTAATTAGTTTTGTATTTTAATACAATTTTAATTTAATCAAATTTATTTCATTATTTTTACACTGCTTTTCCATGGACTAGCACTGGACCACAGTTTGAAAACCCCTGGTCTAGACATTCATGTGTCAAACATAGGCTACGTACTAAATACTGACGTCAGAGTGGTGCGTGTAGTAGTCGTACTCCTGCAGGACGGCTTTGCTCCGCTCCAGCTCCGGGACTCCAGGCAGACTCTGGTCTCCGGCCCCGTCCGCTCAAAGCCAGGGCTGCACACGAAGTGGACCTCATGTCCCGACTCAAACACACTCCCGAGGACCCGGCCGTTCGCCAGCGGTTCAGGAGGAGGGCAGGCCGAGACTGGGAACGAGACGAGCAGTTCCTACAGCCTGTACTTCAACACTGACATGGTGTAAAGGACAGTGATCTGTGTTGGGCCGTGGCGCTGCTGACCTGTGCTGCTGTGTTTGACTGTGCTGTTCTGCAACAGGCCCAGTTTCTTGCGGAGGCTCCGCAGACTCTGTAGGAAGGACATCTCGTGGGCCGAGAGGAGCTTCTGCACCTGCCGAAGAGCGTTCAGCACCTCCGGTCCACTCCGACAGGCCTGAGCAATCAAACACAGAAATGCAAGACAAATATTATAAGATAAATGCTAAAATATATACATGTATATACACTCACCTAAAGGATTCTTAGGAACACCTGTTCAATTTCTAATTAATGCAATTATCTAATCAACCAATCACATGGCAGTTTCTTCAATGCATTTAGGGGTGTGGTCCTGGTCAAGACGACCTCCTGAACTCCAAACTGAATGTCAGAATGGGAAAGAAAGGATTTTGAGCGTGGCATGGTTGTTGGTGTCTGAGTATTTCACAATCTGCTCAGTTACTGGGATTTTCACACACAACCATTTCTAGGGTTTACAAAGAATGGTGTGAGAAGGGAAAAACATCCAGTATGGGTCAGTCCTGTGGGCCAAAATGCCTTGTTGATGCGAGAGGTCAGAGCAGAATGGGACGACTGATTCAAGCTGATAGAAGAGCAACTTTGACTGAAATAACCACTCGTTACAACCGAGGTATGCAGCAAAGCATTTGTTAAGAAGACACAACACACACAACCTTGAGGCGGATGGGCTACAACAGCAGAAGACCCCACCGGGTACCACTCATCTCCACTACAAATAGGAAAAAGAGGCGACAATCTGCAAGAGCTCCCCAAAACTGGACAGTTGAAGACTGGAGAAATGTTGTCTGGTTTTCTGTTGAGACATTCAGATGGTAGAGTCAAAATTTTGGCGTAAACCGAATGAGAACATGGATCATCATGCCTTGTTCCCACTGTGCAGGCTGGTGGTGGTGGTGTAATGGTGCGGGGATGTTTTCTTGGCACACTTTAGGCCTCTTAGTGCCAACTGGGCATCGTTTAAATGCCACGGCCTACCTGAGCATTGTTTCTGACCATGTCCATCCCTTTACGGCCACCATGTCCCCATCCTCTGATGGCTACTTCCAGCAGGATAATGCACCATGTCACAAAGCTGGAATCATTTCAAATTGGTTTCTTGAACATGTCAATGAGTTGACTGTACTAAAATGGCCGCCACAGTCACCAGATCTCAACCCAATAGAGCATCTTTGGGATGTGGTGGAACGGGAGCTTCATCCCACAAATCTCCATCAACTGCAAGATGCTATCCGATCAATATGGGCCAACATTTCTAAAGAATGCTTTCAGCACCTTGTTGAATCAATGCCATGTAGAATTAAGGCAGTTCTGAAGGCGAAAGAGGGTCAAACACAGTACTAGTATGGTGTTCCTAATAATCCTTTAGGTGAGTGTATATATCCTAACATTGTCCCGGAAGCAGACACACTGTGTCAGTTTAAATCTAGATTGAAAACACATCTCTTTTACCACATTCACACAGAACATTATACATTTTTATAATTCAAATCAGTTAAATGTAGATTAGGCTGGATAGATTAGGTCAGCCGCGACCGGGGACACTTCCTACAACATTTGATGTACTTGTTGCATCGTAAGAAGAATGGCATCTACGCTAATTTCAGTCTTTCCATTTATTCCGATCTTTACTGAAGTCAGCCGGTTCCAGGCCGTATCCAGATCAGACAGTGAACCGTCTGACAAGTCTGGACACGACCACAACGCATTCCTCTGGCCAACGAACGAACAGTGTATGATTAACATTTAGGCAACATTGCAGGTCAGAAGTCAGATGGGATCAGAACATTCACAATTTTATCCAGTTCCATCTGGTTGGAGGTCGGAGTCGTCATGTTGGTATAAATACGAGTTTGTTGAGGCGTGAGGCCTTCACAGGGCTGATGAAGACCTGAACCATTTTAGGACTATCCCAGAAAGCCTGTCAAGAAGTATGTTATGATCAGCAGTGTCAAATGCAGCACTGAGGTCGAGTAGTAGCAGCATCACTTTACCTGCATCACTATTTAACCAAATATTGTTTCTCTTTATGAGCGCTGTCTCCCTTGCAAAATTATTTAAAATAGATTAAGAAAGCAACCGCTACTGGTCACATCTATGGTTAGATTTATATGGGTAGATCCAAGTCATGTCCCACCACTTTTTCTCAGGATCGATATAATATTGTCCCCCACCACTTTTTGATTTTTTTTCATTTTAATGCTTGAAATAGACTGTAACCACTGATGAACATATTCGGTTTTGATGAAAGAAAAAAAAAAACTATACGAGTGTGGATTAGAACCAGTAACTTCTGACACACTTGGCAAAAGATCTACCACTAGACCATTGAAGAACTCAAAGAAAACCTGCTGATCGATGCATACGGGTTGAGCTGAGAGGCTGCAGTTTGACCACCAGGCCACCGGATGCTGTGTTGCTAAGAACTTGCAATGTATAACTATTATCAGACCAGCCCTCGCGGCCTCGAAACACTACCGGCCCACCGGGAAAAGCCCTGAATCTCCCGATTGCCACACCGCCCCTGGTTATCATAGCGGGGACTCGGCACATATCACTGAGAGCTGTATTAGATGTTTTTTGGTTCTTCCAAGTAGCTCTTTGGCCTGAATGGCAAGCGTAACGTGTGGAGGAAACCAAGCACCGCTCATCACCTGGCCAATACCATCCCTACAGTGAAGCCTGGTGGTGGCACCATCAGCTGTGGGGATGTTATTCAGCGGCAGGAACTGGGAGACTAGTTAGAATCGAGGGAAAGATGAATGTACAGAGACATCCTTAATGAAAACCTGCTCCAGAGCTCTGGACCTCAGATTGGGGCGACGGTTCATCTTCCAACAGGACCTGACCCTAAGCACACAGCCAAGATAACATAGGAGTGGCTACGGGACAACTCAGTGAATGTCATTGAGTGGCCCAGCCAGAGCCCAGACTTGAACCTCTTTGGAGAGATCTGGAAATGGCTGTGCACCAACCTGATGGAGCTTGAGAGGTTCTGCAAAGAAGAATGGCAGAAACTGCCCAAAAATAGCTGTGCCAAGCTAGCATCATCCTCAAAAAGACTTGAGGTTTTGTTGATTCCAAACATGCTTCAACAAAGTATTGAGCAAAGGCTGTTAATACTTATGTTTTTTAATTTTAATAAATTTGCAAAGATTTCAAACAAACTTATTTCACATTGTCATTATTGGGTATTGTTTGTAGAATTTTGAGGAGAATAATTAATAATTAATTTAATCAATTTTGGAAAAAGGCTGTAACATAACAAAATGTGGAAAAAAGTTAAGCACTGTGAATACTTTCCAGATGCACTCTATATTAGGGTGACCAACTGTCCTGTTTTCCCAGGACAGTTTTCATATAACAATATAACCATTTTCTATCCATACAGAGGAGGCATAACCTACTTGTATTGAAATTAATAAGGTATCTTTGAGTAAACTTCGAGTATCATTTGAGTAGGCCCATCTGTTTGCCGGGCCGAGTGTTCTGTTTTTGGTAATCAAAATATGGTCACCCTACTATATATATATATATATATATATATATATATATATATATATATATATATAGGCACAATACAGTATGTTTTTATGTGCATTTTACAGAAGAATCCAGAATCCGTTCCAAACGAAGTTTAAGGCTATTCTGAGTTTAATTACCCTGTCATTTGGATTGTTCACTGCAAATCTGGTTAGTCTTGGACTAGATCTACTCTGTGTTTTGGGAAAATATAAGAGCCTGGTGTTAAAACCAAAGGCAAACACCACAGCGGTTTCACAGTGTGAAACAAATATTTGCAGACTGAGCTGGAAGATGTTTTCAAGTGAGAATCATGATGTTTATGAAGAGAGCTTAACAGGAACTTTGTTATGATTACTAAACTCATTAATATGCTATTGTTTAACAGAGATTTAAAATGTTGAGTATTCAGCATTAGGCCCCGGAGAACCGGAATAATATATTAAATGCATGAAGTATTTTTATTAAAAGACTTTCATATTTATATTCATTCTTATATTTACATTGATATTCATAATAAAATGTATATTTCACTAAAAAATGTAAAAATATTATTATTAAAAACATTAAATTATGAAATATTATATAGGACAGATAATATAACAAATTATTATTATTATTGTAATTAATTAAAAGAAATACATTAAAGACAGAGAACATTGATATATAAGTCCAATAGAAAATCCCATGACAGCAAAGTATAAATGATTTGTAAAAAGCTTTTTTAAGGATCGTTTTTTGTTGATTTTTATTATATATTGTTTTAAAGTCACTTACTTGCCCCTGAGATGTGAAGATTTGGCTTGTAAAAATTATCATGAAAAAAAATACCACCTTCATCCTTAAAACAAAAGTCCTCAAAATCCTGAGTGGATGTCAGAGAAGTCGAGATTGCTGTTGTTCTTCCGGTGTAGAATAGATCCAGTGAGAGTCCTGACTGAACATCTATGATGTCTTTGCTTGTTTTGAGAAGATGTTTCAACCCGCCCTTTAGATCAGAGCGCGCTCACATCTGCACGCGAACGCGCGTCTATAGAAACTCTATCATTAGGCGACGACGGCGTATATTGCCGATTTAATGTCTTGTTTCCATGTCGATTTAATATCTTTTCCTTTGGATAAACATGGATATAGTATGTTAATTAATGTTGCAAACTACACGGAAACCCTGTCAGCTGGTACATTATGATTTGTAATTGCATAAGGTGGTTTTTATAATAATAATGTTATGATAATAAACAATAATAATAATGTAATAGTATTTGAGTAAAAATATAATGTAGCCTATGTAAAGTGCTTTTTTTCCCTAAATGCTCTTCTCTAGATCAGGGCCGATATGTGATTTCAGCTTTAGGAGGGATACCAATGATTAAAGGTGATTAAAAAAATAATATATTGTTTACTATGGTAGGCATGAACAAACCAGTTGATTCTCGCCACCAATCAAGTCAATCCCTGAACATTGAATTGATTTCTAATCATTTTAAATAACCAGCTAATATTCAGTAGTATTTATATTAATTAAGAAATTCGACAAACTTTATATTATTGTAATTGTTTAGATTGGCAATATGTAATTGTGGGTAAACACGTAACATTTTAAATTTGTTTTGTTTGTAAACTATTTTTTAATTTTAAAGAAGATCTAAATTTCTCATTTTCATTTGTGGAGATAATGTTCAGTGCTTTAAAGGGGTTACTTTTACACTTAAAGCCCTGTTTTAAGATCGTTTCTGATGAAATTGAACAGTATTTTACAGTATTTTACGACTGTAAACTAAACACTATGGCTATTTGAAAAGGGGAGGGGCCATTCAATATGTCCCGTTTTTTTTTTTCACGCTGAAGCGCCGAGAGCCCAGCGTTTTTACTGGTCGCTGGGAGTTGAAAAATGTTCAACTTTGGATAAAACGCAGCGCTCATCACTATCACTTTTTACCCAGCCGTCCAATCACAGTGGAGGAGGGGCGGGACTAATACCACACCGGCCAACTGTCACAACATTCAAACTGCTGCTGATATTCTGTATCATAGCAACGAAACGTCAACGGAAAAAACGCTGCGCTGACAAAACGCTCTCAAGCGACCAAAGCCCGCGTCTTCAGCAGAGCGTCTAGTGTTTTCAGCTGGCTAAAAATGCTTTGGTGGACACACGGCCTATTGTTGAAAAGATAAAAATATTATTTCTTCTTATTATTATATTATTATTTATAACTCTCTCAATACAGTGTAACTGTCCTCAAAATCGTATTATTATTGTAACAGACTTTGTTGAATTGTATACATGACAGAATCCAACAAAGTCTGTTACTATATTGTAGCCTATATATGTGTTATGCCCTGTATTTTTTCCCCTCACTTTTTGTGTCGGCCCCTTTAAATGCAAATGAGCTGCTGCTCCCGGCGCAGGGGGCGGAGCTTCAACAGCTCTGTCCTTTTACCTCACAGACCTGCACTGAAAATATCAATTTTTATGTTCAAACTGGAGTAAGACGATAATGGAGAGACATATTCTGTCTCAATCATTTATAAATCGTTTTCCAGGGGGGCAGGGTTTATGTAGTTTTTAGAGTTTGTGATGTCACTTTGTTGTAGTCCTCAACGATTTCTTTAAAAGCAATATCTTCCTTTGATTTGAACTTTGAGTTTCACAAGTTTTCATAACTTTGCAGATGTTTATGCTCGAACAGCAACATAACTAGAGTGAAATCATGGAGGTTGTCTTTTTAAGAGCGAGGTATGAGACTTTTTTTAACTTATGTGGTCCTCAAGATAAGGGCAAATGAGGCAATGAAACTGTCTAAAATAATTTAATGTTTTCAAGGTATGATCCTCTTTCTTAGAATTCGACGGAGAGTCAGTCACATGAGGGTGAGCAGCCTAAATGATGTCAGGAAATGATGTTTTAGTTTTAGTTATAGATTAAATTATTGCTATCAAAGCATTCAACGAAACGTCATGTCTTTTCATAGAAATCCAGTCGTCCATTAATCATCTGAATGTGTTCCCAAGACTAACATTCTCCGAGATCACAGCTGTCACAGACCACAGCTTTTAAATCCCAAACCCACGACAGTTTTACATCATCAGCATTTTACAAGCGTGATTTCACCCGCTGGAGCTCAAAGCTAAAGTTAGTTTTCATCTGTCATCCTCTCAGTCACATTAGCGCGGGAACTGGGGGAGGGGCTCGAGGGAGCGAGTTTAAAGCTCCCTGAACAACAAGAAAAGAACCAGTCAGCTGTGTCGTGTTAAAACGGGAACCGACAGTTTTATATTAAGTTATCGTTTCATTGATTTCCTTAATAAGAGCGCCTGGAGGAAATGTGGCAAACGCTAATGAAAGGACAGAGGCAGTGTGTGTGAGAGTGTGTGTGTGCTGAGAAGACAGTGATTTATGAGGTCTCAGCTGAATTTTGCTTTACAACTTTCATGTTCTCCTATCCTCTTCGTATAAATGGACCCGTCCAGCAGCCCCTCTGACTGCGATGGTTCGACCCCCAGTGTATAAGACACAGAAACAGCTCTCTCTCTCTCTCTCTCTCTCTCTCTGAGGATAGACAGATATAAAGACAGCATTTCGAGGGAATCTACAGAGAAGATGAGCAGAATATAAGACTGAACCGAGCCTGTGAGAAGACAGCATCGCAGTCTTCAGTGTAAGTCTAAGCTTTCGTGTGTGTGTCATTCTCCCCACTCTCTCTCTCCACTCTCTCTCACTCATTCTCATCAGCATCATTTACACCGAGCTGAGGTTGTTGTCAGATGTGAGCTGGGGTTAAGGAATGTCTTATTATCTCTCTGTGTGTGTGTGTGGAGGAGGAGAGATTTTATTACTACATTTAAAATGTCTGTCACATTTTACAAAATATAACAAGAAAGTATATTTTGCGTGAAGAATATGAAGATTTTTATCCATAAATAAATAAATTGATAAATAAATAAATTAATTAATTACTATTTACTGTATTAGTTTTCTTATTTTTGTGTTTGTGGTGAAAGAAGACCTGTATATTTATTTTAGTATTATTTAATTACTATTGTAATATTTTGAATTAGCTTTTATTTGATTTATTTTTATTATATCACTTTAATATTATTAATTGTCCAGTGTTTTTTTGTGTGTGATTTTTATTAGTTTTTGGTTTTGTAATATTTTTATTGAGCTTTAATTTTATTGAGATTTATTAAAGCCCAACGAACACAAGGTTAACATGAAATAATATTCCATATTATTCTTTGCGGTGTGTTTTAGGTGTGACTGTAAACCTGGATAATGTCCCGGCAGAAAATTACCTGTATCTTTTTCCACATTTTTTATTTTATTTTTGTGTGTACTTTTAGTCCTTGAAGTTATTATTTTATTTAATTTCTAAATGTATCTAATTTTAAATACGATTTTTTTTTCGAATTAAGCTTTACAATTTTGTCAAAATAGGTTAATATTTTATTTCAGCTTTATTTCAATTAATGAAAACTATGTTATTTTTATTTTTACTATCAATAACGACACTCTTAAATCGACTACTTCAGGTCAGAGCAGTAATGTTCAGACGAGGAAGACATCTCACAGTATAACAACAGCACACTTTCTACACTCTAATAACATATGAAGAGTTCAGATGCAAAAGCCTCTAAATGCCATTTGAAATTTTCTTCTTTAATGATGATTTTTGTCAAGCTTGTATATTTAAGTTCAGTGATTTCACTTAAATGGCAATGAGGATTACCTATTAATTGTTATTTAAGTGAAATTACTGAACTTAAATATACAAGTTTGACAAAAATCATCATTAAAGAAGAAAATTTCAAATGGCATTTAGAGGCTTTTGCTCTGAACTCTTCATATACATAAAATAACATCAGACTGCTGTAATATATGAGACTGATATTAGACTATACTGGACAGTGTCTTTCTGCAGTCATCTGATGATTCAGCCACTGCTATTCTACTCATGGCAAGACAAGTAAAGATCAACTTTACAAAGTAAAAAGTGCACCGGACGGACGCTGCAGGTGTTTTATTGTAGTCATTACTTGTTAAATGGCCTATATCACTAGGACAATGATGCGTTAGTGGTGAAAGTGCACTGGATAGTGACAGAGATATTAATCTTGAGAAACACAGATGATTAACTCTGCAACAGATGTGGGGTAACGCCATTTGTGTTCATACTGACAGTGAAAAAACGAGACGGTGTTTCTTTAAATCTATGAGGACAATTTTCATTGTCACTAAAGAGATGTCGTGTGTCTATGTTCTCCATTCTAACATTTTCCCTTCTCCGGTTTCTTGATATACTCCGTGTGTGTGTGTGTGTGTGTGTGTGTCGCTGTGACAGAAGGAGTGCTGTTGTATTATTCAGCTCATTGTGCTGTCTTTCCTTTTTAGACCAAAGCATGACGGGTGTTCTGCGAAGCTCCAAACACAGACCCGGTATGAAGCGCCCTCGGAACCAGCCTTACAGGTACACGCACACACACACACACATTTCTCATTTCTCACAGGCATATTTCACAACTCGCGTCATGAACACATTAAACATCTGCTCTATTTTTGACATTCTGTCACTGTGATTTTCTCATCTTTGTCTCTCATTTCATTCCTCGCCAATATCTATTTCCGGGTGTTTCCGCTAGTTATGAGCCAGATTGGACGGTTAGATTGCATTTGTGTACCTTGTCTCACATAGTCAAACTTCTGACTCTGGGCATAAAGTGTGGTCCAGTCGGCAGATTGCTAGCCCACTTTTTATCGGCACTGGTTCCTGAATAATTTTTCCCACAGGCATTTTAAAAAGAGTTATAAGCATGAATGAATCTAGCCACAGCAACAAGATAATCTGAAGCACAAACGTATTTGAACATAGGACAAAATACTTAATTTAGAATTTAAGTCTTTTCCAAATGTATTAATTTTCGTCAAATTTAAAATACAAATCCACATTTGATTTTAAAAAAGGGTGCATTTTATAATTTGATATTTTTTTCAGGTGTGCATCAGGCATCTTTATCAGTGGCGTACTGCGCGAGATGTGATGGCGATGGAAGAGTTGTATTTGTTTTAGTCGAACCATGCGACGCTGCTGCGGTTCATTCAAATCATTGCAGAAATAGAGAAGATAAATGTGGAGGAGATCTTAGTTATGTCAACCTAACCCAAGCTGTTCACATAGAACACATTTTTTGCGCTGCTTTTCCTTTGTTTAATGTGAAAACATGCGCTAGACGGACATCTTTAGTGTTGCACTCGCGTCTCGCACAAGAAAGCTGCGTGTTTAGACGGCTTTAAAAAACATGTCTCGTGACTTTTCTATTCCACTGCATCTCATGTTTTTAAATGCAAAAAAAGGCACTCTGTGTGATCGGCACTTTGGGGTGATGAACTGAGAAATCATAGCTAAATAACATAGATGCCTACCTCGTGATGACAAACCGGATCGATCTACCGAGCGATACAGAATATTGTGGAGTGCTGGTTGTGCAAGACAGTCGCTGCATAAGCTTCCTGTGGATTCCTATAGGACTGCATGGATAAACTTTATTTATAATGACGTTCCAGCTGATGAGGTAAAACATCGCCCGTCTGTTCGATTCATTTCACTGAGGATTGTTCTGTAAACAAGACTGGATTTGCAGAGCGATTAAGAGTAAAGAACGGTGCTGTGCCGTCTATATTGGATCTATACAGGAATGGTGCAACACACGGACTCTGGGTCGAACAATGTATGGGCGAATCATTCCGGTTGCCATTTTACAACATTTGACGTTTTCAAAACAACTTCCCCCACGTCCACTGACAAGTCATTTAAAACTCATTATAATATGCAAAACTGTTCTCCACTCACAGCAGTGGGCGTTTACTTCCAGGTCTTCAGTGCGAGACGCCCATAAAAACCCAGCGTTTTTCAGCTAGGCTCAAAACTAGGGTAGAAAACAGCTTATTAGTTATTCATTTTGATGTTTTTGAATGTACTGTAAAAACCAAGCTAACATCATAAGTTGACCTCAGACAACAATATGATAAAATCTAAAAAGCCAGTTCATGACCCCTTTAAACTAGGCATAAATACAGGACGTTGTTTTGTTCATAATTGTTTATGCAATTTATGAAATTATATTTTGAATTATAAACATTAGTTTAAACGTTATGCACTTTTTTGTATAGTCAGTCTCAGTCATGTTATTTCATTGCTTTGAATAAAGTTCAATGCGGTGCATTAATATTTAGCTCAATGCGCCCTCTTGTGGCCTCAGGAGACAAGCCAAAAGCTCCTCCCCCCCCCCAACTGTAATCATTTCTTTTAAATTCAAGTATGATTTGAATATTAGTAATTAATGCAATAAAGAGCTAATCCTGTGAGGACCTCTCCTTCCGGTGTAAGAGTGCTTCTAGCGGTGGGTGGAGAAGTACAGCGTTTCACCACTCAGCACTTCGGCGAGATCTTTTTTCCGAAAAGATCAATCAGGAGCGTCTTTATAAAGAAGACTTTCTTTCCGTTTGTTTCTTGATTGGTCGTTTCCTGGCTTCATCTGATGGCCACAATCGCTGTCACACATTTCTGGGCCGAGCGCATGTCCATGTTGGTGGCTGCGGTGGCGACTCCCCTTCTTTGCGGTGGCACGAGTCCCCTCTGCTGTTACCCAGCCTGCCACCGCTTCTCATAGCAGAGCCGCGGATATGGTTAACCCTTTGCGAGGGGCACCTCGGCACTCAAGATGTGGACCAGATGTTAATCGCAGCTTCGGAGAGCGGAGCGGGCTCCTCTGGAGAAGGTGATGAAGACCCCCTCTTGAATCGGATTCAGAGTTGACTGTCATGCTTGCCTGGGCAACGGGCTTGAGTGGGACCCTCCACCTTACCTTGAGTGCTCATGGTTGGATAATTGTTCCTGCATGCAGTGGTGCATGGTTCATAACCTCATTGTTCCCCATAGCTTCTCTTTTCGGAAGAGCATGAGGAGGTTCAGGAGTCATGGAAGGCACCTTTTAGTGCCCGTAGCCGCTCTATAGCCTCTTCCACTGCCCAGAGTCCTGCCAGCCGGCAGAATCCCCCACATCTCCCGTCCAAGGCCTGTAAGACGACAGCAGCCATGGCCATCCTTCAGGTCCATCAGGAAAAAAACTCTCTAAGAGCTGCATGAGGCTAGTTCTCAGCCAGGGTTGATGCAGGAACCGCGCACCTTGCCCTCCGGGTGACGAAAGGACGACGTCTGTCCATCTCTGGTTGGACCTGTCTGAGGTGAAGAACGTCAACAAAGTTTGCTTTCTTAATGTGCCTCTTTCTTAATCTCCCAGGCCAGCCTCTTTGGTGACACAGTCGAGGACTTCGCCCAGCTGTTCTAGGCAGACTGAGGCAATAAATCTTATCCACGACTTGAGTCCTCATCCCATTCGCCCTGTCGAGCCCACGGAAGGTGAATCACCCCATCCAGGCCACCTAACCGTAACCTGTCCATCTAAGCTGCCCTGAGACGGGTGGCCGAGTGATGGAGAGAGCTGCCCTGAACCAGGACAGAGTGAACGACCCACTCCTTCCCCCGGAGAAGGGGCCGGTTGGAGAATCTTCAGTTTAGTTTTAGTCCTGTTCCAGTACACACTTTCTCAATAAAAGAGCAGTTTCCTCAACCTCTTCCTCACTCCCATCCACCCCTTCTCTACACGTCCCAGTTCTGAGATGGGCATGACCATCACACAAGCGGTCGCCAGACATTCAGCCCCTGGTCAGACCGTGCCTTTCTACAACAAGTGTCCAGGCATGGTGTTGAATGACTTCACATTCGACATTTATGTAGTCGACGTCGACTAGTTGCAGATGACGTCAATAATGAACAAATAAGCCATTGCATATGACACAACGCTCCTACATTACAGCTTATTTTTATCAGTTCTTTTGTCTTTGGGTTGTTATATTTCTCAAAGATTTCTGTGAGAAATATAACTTTATAGATAAAGTAGCAGAGTAAAGATTGCATTGCTATGAATGCAATTGAGAGTGGTGATTGCACATGAACTGCACCTAGCACCTAGCTCTCCTCCCACTCCCACCGCCACTATTCCCTGACCGAAGGGACCCTTGCCACGGATAAGCTGGCACAATACTGCACATCTCTAACCGTATTTCCACCGCAGGAACTTTCCCCAGGAACCAGGGACTGTGTGTTAGTACTCGGTGTGTTCCCACTGCAGGAACCCGGGTCTAAATGAAGTTCTGGGTAAAAATTTCACCCCTGCTGGCAAGGTGGTACTTTTTCAGGGGTGGGACTCGGGCACTGAACAAGCTGATTGGTTGAGTTCATGCTGCATTTCTATTGGTTGACTCAACGCAGCAGTTTATTTCAACCACCATTTATTTTAAATCTGTTGCGGTGCATGCAGTAAGAGATGTTTGCTATTCGAATCAACAATGGAGTTTAAAAAACACGACCGACGACGAGGTTCAGGCTTTATTAAGCTTAAATTCAGAGGATGAAATCCAGCGGGAACTGTAAAGTAGTGCGCAGTCCTGCGTCACGGTCTAATCTGCCTAATCTTCACGGCACTTTAGAGAAAAAGACAGCAACAGGTCTGTGGGGAAAAAGTTCCTGGGACAAATTGTTCTGGGTAATTTCGGTGGAAACGCGGCTTCTGATGAGCATCTATGATGAGCCCTTCAGACTAAATTGAATGTCCTTTATCTACCCATAATGCACTTTAAAAAGTACAAGGTCTATAATGCAGTTTCACAGTCCATTTAATCTCATTTACCTTCCTAAGCGTCCTAGCAGCACTTAAACACACACACACACACACGACAGGAATTTACTCGGCTCATCTGCATAATGTTACGGGGCGGCTCTGACTGGCATCTTCTCTCTCGGCTCTGGGCTCCGTGTGACTCACACTGCTGGGCTTATTTGCGTCTTGTTAAGTGTTTTCACACATCAGGAACTTTCTTCTCTATTTCAATCTCATCAGAAGATCTGACGTCTCATTGGTTATTGCCTGCGGTCAGATTCGGCGGTGGGTTGTTGTTAGTGCATTAGTGTGCGCTGAGATTCAACACTAGCCCTAGATTGAATCTGCATTTTAAACGCCCTCCCATAGGGCCATGCATCCCGTTGTATAGAGAAAACCTCTCACACACGTTTGGCAGCATGCATTAGTGTGGCACAGAGCCGTCTCTCCGGTGGCCGCTCTTTTTAGATTGGAGATGTGTGTGTGTCTGCCATAACAAACGTCTAAGTTTAACCCTCAACTGTGCAAAATCTTGCCTCTGGCTCACAATCCCATTTTCTTTCCTTTGGAAGCATATAGGAGAGGAATAAAGTGTTTCACAAGGGATTACTTTGAATAAACAATAAAATGGTCTTTCTTGGCGCTCATGAGGGCGCTCAAAAAGCACCCTTTCAAAAATATGATTCACATTTGTCAGTGAGTGAACATTTGAAAAGCGTCATAAAATATTTGCATGTTGTATCGCTGCTGA